CCTTGAATAGCGCTCTGGAGCGGTATTCGAGATAGTGTGGATTTAGTATCCATTAAGGGCACTGCACTTTGGCATTTTGAAGACCTGGGACAGACTTGCACACTTACTTCCTGTCGCGCGCACGCGCTCTCAAGTGGCCAAGACCACAAGTGTGGGTATTTGGACAAGGGGATGGCTTGATCACCCTAGTGTACTAAAAATTTTAATTGTATTTGTATGAATGGGAATACAGACTTTCAGAGATTTTACTCAATGATTTTCACAGCCTTCTTTGATCATATTTAATAAGGGTGCCAATAATTCTGATCATGACTCTCTCTCTCTCTCTCTCTCTCTCTATATATATATATATAAAACAGCTTCTTTATATATAACATAAATAATAATAATAAAAATGTTGCAAAACTGACAACAACTGATGAACAACTGAACAATTTATACAAGAATTCATTACAAAACAGATTTCCAGGCATTCCTTTTCTTTTATTCCACAGCTGAGGTTATTTTGCTTGCTTTAAAATAGATTTCCTCCTGTTCAGCAAAGCTTTTTTTTTTTTTGCTTCTCAGTCCCATACAATTTTAAGCTTTTCTTGGTTCATTCCATGTTTTATAGGCACCTCTGCCATGCTAATTCAGATTAGCACAGCTGGTTTTAAATTAATCTAATTCATTTTAGTTTAGGACTCCATAGTCCAGGGGCCCGTTCTTTGTACGTCGCTTATTACATCCGAGATTGTATGTCACATCCAAATGTCACATCCAAAATTATATCATCGCATTAATCAGGATCTGGCTAATTCGGTTCTTCAAACACACCGGTTGTTGATGATTAGTATGGCTGGATTGAGTTAGATGAGATAATTGCGCGTTCATGGGTTGGTTCAAAAGGGACTATGTATCGATACTCGAAACCACGATCAGCAATGCAGCGATTGGCTGGCGGCAAGACAGCAACGTAATGACATTATATAATTAATAAAGACACCTGACGAAAAACTTGACAAATTTCTGGACTTTTATAAGGAAAACAAAACGACATAAATGTTATAATAGAAAAATTAAATGTGCACTGTTTTTATTTTACTTTAAAAAAAATTCATGATTCCCAATTATTTATATTCACGATTTCTAATATTTGCACAGGCTTTAAATTTTTATTTCAATGTAGTAATTAGCAATTCATTTAATTTTATATTTGAACAGATTTGTTATGTGACAGCATTAATTAAAGTTTCTTAAGTTCTCTGCATCTCCTGCGCTCCATCAAGCCACCCCCCATAATATCGGTCATCACTCAAATTAATGCACGACTCTACATTATCTGTATAG